CACGTGACAGGCTGTCTTGTAAGTGCTTCACAGATGTTAACTTGTTTGAGTTTTTCACTGTGGTCCTAGGAAGTAGATACCAATATTATCCTCAAATACAGGTGAGGAGACTGAGACACCAAGAGAGTGCAGCACAGCTGGGATGTGACATCCCACCTGAGTTGGAATGCAGCCGGTGGAGCATCGTGCTCTGTTCTTCAACACTGCACTGTTCTGTCTCAGAATAGGCAGTTTCTGAAGGCTGAGGAGGATTGGGGACCAGCATCTATCGTGGGGACCCAGACATAGTGGTGTTCCCTGTGACTCCCTGCGTGACTCCAGGAAAGGGGCAACACCTCTTTACACCACAGTGACCTCACCTGTAAAATGGGTTAATAATGAAGTAAAAATGGGTATTCACAGAAAAGCACATAGGAGGGTACTAGCCTGTAGTGGGCACCAGGTGGGAGCTCCATTGCTTAGAATGATGTCTGGTTTATGATGACAGTAACAACCATAACAATATATGTAACATATGTAAAATAAATATAACAGCTGACTTTTATTGAGTGCTTACTTAAGTACCAGGCATCATTTTAAGCATGTTACACATTGGCTTATTTTATCTTTACATAAACCCTGTGAGGTAGGTGCTGTAAAATGATCCTCATTTTATTTTTTATTATATTTTTCGGGGTTTTTTGTTTTTTTTTTGTTTTTTTTTAAATTTTATTTATTTTTTTATCCTCATTTTAAAGATGAGAGATCTGAGGCCCTGGGAGGTGACATGACTTGCTCAAGGTCACATACTCTTTCAGGTGTAGTGCAGGGATAGCTGTTGTAACAGAGGCTAGTCAAATGAGAGAGTCGGAATTATCTTTTCATCAAAGCCCTGATGAAGTTGGGGAGTTCTGATTAAGTGCCAGATCTGGGAATGGCCCACATCCTATCTTCTCTTATCCCATTGGCCGGAACTAGTCACTTGGCTACAGCTAACTGCAAGGGAGCCTGGGAAATGTAGTCTTTTAACTGGGCAGGTGGCTCAATCTGGCCAGGTGGAAGCAGTTAATGCTGAGTCAGGGGAAGGTGCTGGCAAGGGAGGAGCTTTACAAAAGGCCCAGGTTTGCAGGTTCTTTTTCTTTTTCTTCAACAAGTTTATAGCTCTAATTCACATACCACGTAGCTCACCTAATTAAAACCCATAGTCCTCTGGCTTTTAGTATAGTCAGCGTTGTGCATCTCCCTGGCAGTCAAGCTTAGAACATTTTCATCACCCCAAAAGGAGACCCTGCTTCCTTTGGCCACCACTCCCCTTTCTCCCCACCCTCATCCCTAAGCAGCCAGTAATTTACTATTTCTATAGATTTGACCATTGTGGACATTTCACCTAAGGGATATCATACGTACAGTGTGCAGTCCTTTGGGACTGGCATCTTTGCTTAGCATAATGTTTTTGAGGTTATCCATGTTGTGGTGTGTATCAGTACTTCATTCTTTTTATTTTCTAATTGAAGTATAGTTGATTTACAATATATTAGTTTCAGGTGTACACCATAGTGATTCAATATATTTATAGATTATACTCCATTTAAGGTTCTTATAAAATATTATCTATGTTTCCTATGCTGTACAATATATTCTTGTAGCTTACTTATTATTATACATAGTTGTTTGCAGTACCTCATTCCTTTTTTATGGCTGAATACTATTCCATTGCTTGGATATACCACATTTTGTTTATCCATGGACTAGCTTGATGGACATTTGGGTTGTCTCCACTTTTTTGGCTGATGCTGCTATGAACATATGTGGACAGCCCAGAATTTTCTGAGCCTATGAAATGGGAGAAACTAAACTCTGCACTCTTAGGGAAGCAATTCCCCCGCCAAGGGTCAGTATCTTTCTTTGGTCCTGGGTCTCTCTCTGTTCACCCCATTTGACCAGGAGCCCCTCCTGGGCAGGATGAGCCTGACTCAACGTCTGGATGCCCTGAAGGTTCCGCCCAGACCAGGAGGTCTCAGAACCAGCCCTCCTGCTGGTCCAAGACTGATGATCCTCCATGTGCTAGAACCTGATGTCTCTCCTTTCTTAGATGCACAATGAAAGTTCTAGAAAGAGGCTGCAGTGATGTTCCCTCTCCCCCTTCCTTTAGTTCACTCTCATCTGGCTTCCTCAGCCCCTTTCTGCAGGTGTTAATTGAGCACATACTATGTGCCATGAACTGAGGGTTCCAGCAGTAAACAGAAAAGACAAAAACATGTATCCTCGTGGGAGCTTACAGTCTCAGCGGGGGAGTTAATCAGATAAATATGTTATGTAATAGAACACAAAACAATATGAAAAGTCATCAGTGTAAGGCTGGGTCGGATTAAAGGCAGTAGAGAAAAATAAATCCAGTAAAGAGGATCCAGGCGGGATCCTGGGTGATATTTGCGGGGGAAGGGGGAGTTGCAGAAGGCTTCTGGAAGTGACATTGGAGCAGAGATCCGAATGCAACAGGGTTGGGGTGGTGTGACTTTGGGAGAGAGAACATTATGGACTGGGTATGTCTGAGGATCAGGAAAGAGGCCAGCAGCTGGAGGAAGTGAGGCCAGAGAAGGAACAGGAGCACAGCTTGGAGAGACAAGGGTCCTGGGGCTTTGTGGCCCCACTGGCAGGATTTTATCACGAGTGAGACAGGAGCCTTAGGAGGGTTCAGGCAGAGGCTTGATGGGGTCTGACTCCCACGGCTAAATGGTCACTCTGGCCTCTTGAAACAGCTGTCAGCAAGGACCGTCCATGTGGGTAAATCAAGTGGACATTTCTCATGCCTTTTCCTAAAGGATGTTTTGGGGTCTTCCCACACGTGGCCCTCCTGCTTCTCTTTTCTCCCTGATGCTCCTTCTTGAGTTTCTGGTGGCTGTCCCTCCAGTCCCATCCTTGGAGAATTCCCTGGTGGTCCAGTAGTTAGAACTCAGCGCTTTCACTGCCAGGGCCTGTGTTTGATCCCTGGTCAGGGTACTACGATCCCCCAAGCCACGTGGCACGGACCAAAAAAAAAAAAAAAAAGAGTCCCGTCCTTGGCCTCATTGTTTGGCGTTCCATATCTCTCACTTGGCAAGCTCCCACAAATTCCGTGAGCCTCAGACTCATTTCTTCTCCCTGCCACCTTCCAGGCCTACGCCCCAGCAACTCCCTCCTTCCAGACCCACCGAGCTGGTCCTAGCTTCTCTATCTCGGACACAGCCCCACTGGCAACCAAGTCACCAGGCCAGACCTTCCCTCACCTCTGCTGCAAGGAAGCCCCCAGCCCTACCCCTCCGGCCCTGACTGCCCCCATCCCCTCTGCTCCTTCCCACAGCCCTAGCTCAGATGCTGGCCCTCCTGCCCCTCAATCTATGTATCCTGATCCTCCAGTCCTGGCCCAGCCTCATCCTTTCTCATCTGGTCCATTGCCCTGGCCTCTGGTCTCATCCCTCTGATCCATCCCCTGGCCTTGGAGTGGTCTCTCTCCACTTACCTTCGCCCGTCCCTGCTCATAGCTCTCCCATGGCTCCCTAGTACCCCTCCCTAAAAAAGGCCCTCCCCTTTCTACCTCGTCTCAGAGGCCTCACATGGTCTGGCCTGCCCTGACTTGTGCAGTCTCAGCTCCCATCTCCTTCCTCAGTCTTGCCTTTTGTGACCTGATCTCTCAGACCTGATTCACTGGTTTGGAAACCAACTCTGCTGCTTCTTTAGACTTTACTGAAGCTACACTAAACTAATCAAACACAGTGGTCACCGGCCTGGAATACTCTTTCCTATCACTCAAGGCTCAGCGTGTGTGTGACCTTTAATAGCCTTCCCTGACTTGCCAGGCTGAGCTCATTACGGTACCTGTGATTCACCGTTAGAGTATATTGTCCTGGTGTTGGGGAGTCTTCCCCAGTGGACGTGGACCTCACTGAGGGTAGGGATTTCTCTCCTGGTCCCTGGAGCTTAGAATACTGTCTGCCACACAGGCGGCCTTGGAGAAAGTTGGAATGATGGGCCATGTCTCCCTTTCTTCCCCCAGAGCGGGCAGTACCTGGGCGTCTGCTGAAGACCCGGGCGATGCGGGAGATGTACCGGAGCTATGTGGAGATGCTGGTGAGCACGGCACTCGACCCGGATATGATCCAGGCCCTGGAGGACACACATGGTGAGCAGAGGCTTGGGGGCCCAGAGCCCCCTACCCCTCCTTTGCCTCCCATACATCGTGAGGCTGCATCTCTTCTGATACCCTGTCTTGCCTTTCAGACGAGCTGTACCTCCCGCCCATGCGGAAGATCGATGGCCTCCTGAATGAGCACAAGAAGAAAGTCCTAAAGCGGCTGTCGCTGAGCCCAGCCCTGCAGGTGCGTGGGGGGGCTTGGCCTGCGGCGTCTGGGGCCCAGAGCTCAGGCACAGAGGAGACATGTGCATGTCAGCCACTGCGCTGGTCCCCAGAGCATCAGGCCCTGGAAGGGCAATCGTTGGAAGGGTCGGGCTTGGCCAGGAGAGTAGTGGAGGCCGGGCTGTCTGGAGGGAGTCTCTGGGTTCCCAGCAGTCCTGCAAGCACAGATGGAGGCGAGCTGGGATCGCGTGGCGGGGTCATTGTCAAGGTCTGGGATGGGCTGCTAGGCAGGCCCAGCAGAGCGTGGTTGTGGAGTACAAGTTTGGGGACAAAAGGTGGACTAGGGCCTGGACCCAGGGCTCGCTCTGGGGCAGAGCGTTGAGTGGATTTTTTTTTTTTTTGTAGAATAGAGTTTTTATTTTTTTAATAAATTTATTTATTTTATTTATTTATTTTTGGCTGTGTTGGGTCTTCGTTGCTGCACGCGGGCTTTCTCTAGTTGCGGCGAGCTGGGACTACTCTTCGTTGTGGCTCGCGAGCTTCTCATTGCGGTGGCTTCTCTTGTTGCAGAGCACGGGCTCTAGGTGTACGGGCTTCAATAGTTGTGGTGCGCGGGCTCGGTAGTTGTGGCTCACGGGCTCTAGAGCGCAGGCTCAGTAGTTGTGGCGCACGGGCTTAGTTGCTCTGCGGCATGTGGGATCTTCCCGGACCAGGGCTCCAACCCGTGTCCCCTGCATTGGCAGGTGGATTCTTGTTTTGTTTTTTGTTTTTTTTTTTTTTTTTTTTTGCGGTACGCGGGCCTCTCACTGCTGTGGCCTCTCCCGTTGCGGACCACAGGCTCCGGACGCGCAGGCTCAGCGGCCATGGCTCACGGGCCCAGCCGCTCCGCGGCATGTGGGATCCTCCCGCACCGGGGCACGAACCCGTGTCTCCTGCATCGGCAGGTGGACTCTCAACCACTGCGCCACCAGGGAAGCCCGGCAGGTGGATTCTTAACCACTGCACCACCAGGGAAGTCCCCGTTGAGTGGATTCTGATGGCTTCTCTGTCGACGTAATTCAGGCTCTTCGAATCTCAGGCTCGAATCCGAAGTCATCTATGTAATTTCCCTTCTGGGATGGGATATCACGGTGGCTCCGAGAATTCTGGGAGAGAACATTAACTTGGTTTTGAGAATTCTGATGGAGATGTTAATGTGGTGCTGAGAACTGGGGCGGAAGGGGGGGTAAAATGTTAGGATGGCTCAGAATTCTGGAATGGATTTTAGGCCAGCTCTGAAAATTCTTGCTGGGATGTTAGTCTGACTATGAAAACATGGGATAAAACGTTAATCTGGTTCTGGAATTCTTCGTGGGATGTTAGGATGCCTCTGAGAATCTTGGGATTGACTGTTCATCTGGCTCTGAGAAGGGGGGTAGGATATTACGCTGGAGTTAGGAATTCCACTGTAATGGGAATTACCTGGTGGTCCAGTGATTAGGACTCCGCATTTTCAATGCCGAGGGCGCGGGTTTGATCCCTGGTCGGTGAACTAGGATCCCACAAGCCGCGTCGTGTGCCAACCCCCTCCCAAAAAAAAAAAAAAAAAAATTCCACTGTAGAACATTAGGATAGGTCTGAGCATTATGGGGTGGAATATGAGTCTGGTATTGTAATTCTGGGATGGACGTTAGCCTGGCTCTAGGGATTCTGGATTTCAGGTTGACTCTTAGAATTTTTGTAGGAGGTGATGGTGGCTCTGGAATCCTGGGCAGGATGTTAGGTGTCTCGGAGAATCTTGGGCCGAGCCACAAAACACATTATAAGGGTCACCAGACAGGCCTAGGCTTCCCCTGGCCTTTGAGGAAACCGAGACTCCCAAGTGTCTTTCCTGATCTGCAGTTTCCTGGGGGAAACTGAGGCGTCTGATCACATGGGATCTGAGAACTGGGGGGTGGGTCTGGGGTGTGCGGGTCCAGGGAGGTCCCCCTGACCCCTCGGATTCCCGCAGGACGCCCTGCACACGTTCCCCCAGCTGCAAGTGGAGCAGAGTGGGGAGGGTTCCCCAGAGGAGGGGGCCGTGCGTCTGCGGCCGGCCGGGGAGCCCTACAACCGCAAGACGCTCAGCAAGCTCAAGAGGAGCGTGGTCAGAGCCCAGGTGCGGCGGAGCCCGGGAGGGGCGGGGCGCGGGGGCGGGGCCGCCCGGCGCTGAGCGGGGAAGCTGAGGCTTCTCCGCTTCACCTGCCCAGGAGTTCAAGGTTGAGCTGGACAAGTCGGGATACTACACGCTCTACCATTCACTCCACCACTATAAGTACCACACCTTCCTGCGCTGCCGGGACCAGGTGAGCCCACCCACGCCCCGCACGGGTCACCCTGGGATTCAAGCCATCGCAGGCTCCCCCCTGGACCCAGGAGTCCAGCTCCCAGCCCCCCTCTCCCTGGGACACTGATCCCTAGGCCCCCAGCCTCCTCCCACCCCAGCTCCATGTTTAACCCCCCTGCAGACCCTGGCCATCGAGGGCGGCGCTGAGGACCTGGGCCAAGAGGAGGTGGTCCAGCAGTGCATGCGGAACCAGCCATGGCTGGAACAGCTGTTTGACTCCTTCAGCGACCTGCTGGCCCAAGCACAGGCCCACAGCCGCTGTGGGTGACCCCACCCTGGCTTGGGGGGGCCACCTCCTCCATAAACCGAGAATTGGGACAGAACTGTGCCCTCAGGAGCTAACCCCTGGGCCCCATCGCTGGGGTGGGGTGGGGGGGGTCATTGGTCAGGGTGTGTCCATGCTGCCCCCACAGGACAGGGTTCAAAGTTCGACTCCCCCCATCTCCCAAGCCCTCTCCACTCCCTCCCATTCCTCCCACTGTCCGGTGTACAGAGAAATTATTTATATATATGTATAAATGTCTATTTAGTAACAGTTTCCCTCCCCCACCTTGCCCCAATCCCCCCTCCCTGGCATAGCCCCAGCCCCCTCCACCTTGTACATAATGTATAGGAAAAGTCTATGTATGGTTGAGGGGGGCGGGGCGGCTTCGGAGAGCTGGGGGACCCCTTCCCCCCAATCCCCCCCTCACAGGCCAAGATCTTTGCTAAAGGCCATTCCCTCCCCAGGGCATTTGGTGTCGGGTGGGAGGGGGAAAACACATCTTGTTAATTATTTTTAATCTTATTTATTGTAGATACCTAGGGCAGGGGGCTGGGGAGGTGGAGGGGGGAGAAGGGTCCCCTCTCTTTGCCCCTCCCACTCCTTTTCTACTGCGATTTGTCTGTGTCTGCCCCCCTCCGCCCCCATCCCATTGTCATCTGGATGTGGTTCTATTTTTTATCGGTCTCTTCTCCCCTCCTCCCTCTCTCTAACCCCTCTGCTCCCGTCTCCCCACCACCCTTTGTCTCTTGCTCTTTCTTGGGCTTCTGTACAACTCAACTTGTATACACTGTGTACACACAACCAGCCAAACGAAAACCCGACGGCAAACACTTTATCGGCTGGCTGGAGTGCCTCTGTCCTGCGGCATGTTGGGGGGCCAGGGGGTGGCATGGGCAGAAGGTCTGGATTCTGGAGCCCTGGGATGTGGTTGGGCTGGGGTCATTGTATCCATTGTGTCTTGCTGTGTAACAAATCAGCCCACCCCAAAACTTAATAACTTGAAAACAACAAACAGTTACCATCATCGGGTTTCTGAGGGTCAGGAATTTGGGAGCAGGTTAGCTGGGTGGTACTGGCCTGAGGTCAGTCGTGAGGGTGCAGTCATCATGGATTTGACTGGGGTTGAAGGATGTACTTTTAAGGTGGCTGTTGGCTGGAGGCCTCAGTTACTTGCCATGTGGACCGTGCCATAGGTGGCGGTGGCTTGAGAGTCTTCCAGACATGGCAGCTGCTTCCCCCAGAGTGAGTGAGTGAGGGGAGAGAGCAAGGAGGAAGCCACTCAATCTTTATGTCCTAATCTCGGCCATTGTACACCATTGCTTCTGCCATACTCTTCATTAGAGGAGGGTCATTAAGCCCAGCATACACTCGAGGGGAATCAAGGTCTGCTTCGTGAAGGGAAAAGAATATGAATTTGGGGGTGTATTTTTAAACCAGTACAGGCAGTGATGGGTGTTGGGAGTTAAGCAGCTTTCTCTTGGCTCCCTGAGATAGGCTTGAGGGTGGGTCTCTGTTCTCAAACCGTGAAACTACCAGGTCACGAGTGGATTGGCATTTTAGAGGTCGGCCTGCAGAGTTGAATGTGGATTTCTGTCTTCTCATGCCTTCTTAGAGTCCTTGAAGAGCTTGTGGAGATGCAGACTCGTGGGCTGTTTCTCAGCTCTATTGAGTCAGAACCCATTTTTTAATAAAATCCTGGGAGGATTCTACCATACATTCAAGTTTGAGGAACAATGTTCTAGAATAAGGGTGTTAAAAATTTGGAGGTTGGGAATTACCTGGTGGTCCAATGGTTAGGACTTGGTGCTTTCACTGCAGTGGCCTGGGTTCAATCCCTGGTTGGGAAACTAAGATCCTCAAGCTACACAGTGCAGTCAAAAAAGAAAGTGTGGAGGTCAACTGGCAGTCTACTAGAACCCAGCCTGTAAGGTAGTGAGTAAGCCCTTGTTCTAGAGTCTGGACACATCCTCAAAGATAGACCATTGGTACTCTTTTTTTGCAGTACTCGGGCCTCACACTGTTGTGGCCTCTCCCGTTGCGGAGCACAGGCTCCAGACGCTCCGTGGCATGTGGGATGTGGGATCTTCCCGGACCGGGGCACGAACCCGTGTCCCCTGCATCGGCAGGCAGACTCTCAACTACTGCGCCACCGGGGAAGCCCACCATTGGTATTCTTGAACTCTGGACTTGGCATTGAAGATGGCTGGTCAGTAGGTAAAGACCAAACATGAGATTTAAGGGTGGATCATCAGGGACTTCCCTGGTGGTGCAGTGGTTAAGACTCCACACTCCCAATGCAGGGGGCTCAGGTTCGATCCCTGGTCAGGGAACTAGATCCCACATGCATGCCGCAACTGAGAGTTTGCATGCCACAACTAAGGAGCGGGCAAGTTGCACAACTAAGACCCAGTGCAACCAAGTAAATATTAAAAAAAAAAGGGAGTGGATCATCAGCGTTCTAGATTCTCTTCTGGGTGAAACTGAGGAAGAACCCCTGTTCTAGAACCTTGGATATTGGCTAGACCATGACCAATGTTATCAATTCTAGAGCCCTGGTTTTACAGGTCAGAGGAGTGATAGTAGCATTTGAGGACCACAAGAGAGTGAATGATGGGCCATTCACTTTCTAGAGTAAAGATGAGTCATTAACGTCCTTGAACTCTGGCTTGTAGCACATCACGAATGCATCCTCTGAGAGGGAGTGGCATGTTCAAGTCTCTGGACTGGGATGTTATATTGGAGCCAAAGATTCCAGGATTGTCCCAGGTTTGAGATCCAGGGCAGAAATTGGATAATGTGCTCAGGAAGTGACTTGTGGGGACAATATCATCCCTTTGGGGACAGAATAACCTTGTGGTTGGCCTTTGGAATTCAGTTTACCAAATTTGAATCTCAGCTCCAGCACTGACCAGACGAGTTGGATGACAGCTTCTGTCGTCAGCTTTGTCATCTGTAAAATGGGCTTTTGTCAAGACAAAGGAAAACAATTCGTTTGAAGTGCTGTTCAACGCTTAGCTGCTGTTACCCAGAGCAGGAGACCCTGGGGGGCTTGGTGGAGGTCCAAGAGATGGCAGGAGGGGGGAGAGGCAGAGGACGACAAAGATGGATAAAGAGAGGGACATTAAAATCCCAAGAGACTTGGAATTTTGACAAGCACTGCCAGGCCCAGGGGAGGGCAGGAACCAGAGACTCGCAGGCGTACACGTAACCTAGGGAGATGCCAACGGGGCCATCCCAGCCTTTTTGCTGTTGTCTGATGAGCTTTGGCATGGTGGTGACTGCAAACCTTCCAAAAATGGCCCGCCAGCTGTCATGTGGGTTTTGTATGTGTGCCTTTTTTAGGGGCAAGCGGTAGCTTTCGTCACCTCCTCAGAGTGCCTCTAGGTCCTCTGAGAAATGGGGTGTCCCGGCCAAGAACTTAGCCCCATTAGACAGTGCAGAAAAGACTCAGGCCTTCTGCTTGTGGCATGTCAGCGGTGGGACCCTGGGGAGAGAGAAGTTGGCCTGGGACTCGCTGGTTCCTGTTGAGAGCTCCTCACCCCTGGCTGGGGCTTAGGTAGAGATGTCAGATCTTATCTGGGAGCTGATAAAAAAAAACATCCCCATCCCACAGGGGAGGGCCCCCACTGTACAGAGCTTCTGGGGGCGGTGGGTGGAGGGTGAACACGGAGCACAATGTAGCTGAGCCACGCTTATTCCCAGGGCGGAAGGTTGAACCCAGGCCAAGGATTCTGCGATAATGAAACCCGGAAAGGGATATTTAGCTAATCATTGTTCTAATCTGGAATACAGAGGGACATTCATGGTTCTGGGGCAGGAGAACAGTGGGGCCTCCGTCATTGCTCCTGGGCATTTAGTATGTCCCAGGCGCTGCTTTCATTTTCTAGTTGCAGATCGGGCTCCTAAAGGCCTCTGGCTCTGGGAAGTGGCTCTGTGGTCAGCCCCTCTTTACAGATGAGAAGACTGAGACACACCTGCCCAAAGGCACTCAGATGGGAGGGGGCAGCGCCAGATTTGAACCCAGGCAGCCTGCTGCTGCGGCCACGCAGGGTCATTGTCTACCCTAGAACCAGAAAGCGGGTTCTGGGGTGGGTGTGAAGGGAATATTTTGGGATCGAGGCCCGGAGATTCTGTTGGGACTAAGCAGATGTAGGGGTGTGGGAGCAGATCATTGACTGATGACAGTTATAAGGTGGAGGCCAGAGTTCCGGGGCACGGGGACATCTTGGTTGAGATTTCTGGCCTGGTGTGTCGAGTAGGTGTTGGAGCTCAAAGGTGGCCTGTCAGATGGGCCTGGAAGATAGGGGAGTGGTGGTCTCCAGTTCCGGCTCCAGCCTTCCAGGTTAGCAACTAGAGTACAGAATTGGGGGCCCTGATTCTCAAATTGAAGTGTGTTGTCACCTTATCTGCGGTGGCCTTAAGATGCCCTACATTTCAGGCCCCCCCAGGAGAGAGGCTCAAATGGGGTGCGTCCACACCGGCCTCCAGTTAAATTCAGGGTTTAGACTCAGATGTCAGCCCAACTGAGAACTTTCTGGAACAGAACTTGCCGGTCGGCTGCTTGGATACCAGCCCACCTGTCCCTTCTCCCTCTTGCAGCCAAAACGTCTTTCTCAATATACATTGGAGGTGGGAAGCAGGTGGGCAGGGTTTGTAGCAGTTGCTGCCTGTCTCCAAGATCCCAAAACCTCCTAGAACACCACTGTCCCATAGACCTTTCGGCAATAATGAGAATGTTGTATACTTGCCCTGCCCATTCGGGGAGCTGCTAAGCCACATGTGAATACTGAGCTCTTGAAATGTGGCTAGTGTGATTCAGGAACCGAGTTTTAAAATTTTATTTAAGTTAAATTTAAATAGCCACATGTAGCTTCCGGCTGCCAGACTGAAAGGTGCAGTTCTAGAGCTTTCCGGGGGGGGGGGGGAGGGGAATGTTTTTTTCAGACGTTAGTACTTCGGGCTGCATGTGGAATCTTAAGTTTCCCCACCAGGGATCGAACCTGCGACCCCTGCAGTGGAAGCGCGGAGTCTTAACCGCTGGACTGTCAGGGAAGTCCTCCTCAAATGTTAATCTTCATCCCAACAAAATGCCCACAAAAACAGAAAAGGGTGCAGTCGTGCTGTTGGAGTGGAAGTGGGGGTTCAGACGCCTAGCTTGGCTTGTTCTGTATATCCCCCGTCCCTCCCCAAGCAAAGGGTCCAATGGTTCTCGGCGGATGGTGGTCCGTGGAGAGAGACTTTAGCGTGTCTGCGCAGCCCGAGTTCACCCACCTCCCCTGCCCTTTTCCCTTTTTAAAAAGCACCTCCTGACCTTGGCAGTGACGTTTATTTCTCTGGGGGAGGGGAGTTATATACAGCAGTGACCCGGATGCCCGGGAGCCCTCACCCTGGGGCTCGGGTGGGGGAAGGAGGCGGTGGCAGAAGGCACACAGTGGTGATGGCCCCTGGAGGAGGCCAGGAATCACGGGTGGGAGTGTAGTGTTCCTGGGAGACCCAGATGGGGAAAGAAGCTCGGCGAGGGCGGCTGGTCCCGAGAGCTCGTGCCGGTTGCTCCTCTCCCGTCCCTACAGGAGGACGCAGGGGCAACCCCCGTCCTTCTTCCTGGGGGCGCTGGGAGGGCAGGGCGGGAGCTCTTGTTCCTGGTACTTCCTGCGGGAAGAGGCTGGTGAGTTTGGGCCGCAGGGAGGGGGGTGGTGGAGGACGACGGCAAGGGCGCACTGCTCACCGGACGGCCCGCACCAGCTGCTCGAAGGCCTCGTCCACATTGAGGCGCAGTTTGGCTGAGGCCTCGAAGTAGGCCACGTGGTGGGAGGCGCTGAAGGTGGAGGCTTCAGATCGGGGGACCTGGGGCGTGGGACACGGAGGAGTCAGGTCCCTGCTTTCAAGGCTGGTCCCAGGGACTTCCCTGGTGGTCCAGTGGTTAAGGCTCCTCGCTCTCAATGCAGGGGGCCCAGGTTCCATCCCTGGTGGGGGAACTAAGGTCCCACATGCCGCCTGGTGCCACCCAAAAGGCTGGTCCCAGCTGGGGGAGGCAGAAAGACACACTGTGTGCTCTAACTGGGGTTACATACAGTGAGGGCCCAAGAGAAGAGGAAAACGTCCAGGAAGGTCCTGGCGGAGATGCCCAGGGGGTTAGCTGGGCGCCATCTAAGTAAGGAATCGGGGAAGGCTCCAGAGACCTTCTCCTGCAACCGAGTTGTCAGAGAAACAGAAAAGTCAGGGTGTTCCCAGCAGAGGCCCAAGCAAAGTCCCAAAGGGTGGAAATCCCCAAAGGCTTAATCGAAAAGACGAGTTCTGTGTGAAAATCACAGAGTCTGTGTGTATAGGGAAATGGTGAGAACAGAGAAAGGAAAGGACAAGATCATGGAGAGCATCAAAGGCCAGGTGGCAGAGCTGGGGTGCTGGGGAGCCATGGGAGGGCTGTGAGCAGGGGAGGGGCAGCCAGAGTGAGAGGTTGACTGGCGGGGAGAAACAGGAGGCTGAGGCCAGGGTCCAGGTAGGAACAAGAGGAGGGGACAGGACAGAACATTGGGGCTGGTTGACCCTGGGGGAGGTGCCCTTTTTTTCCATCCAGCTACCTCTCCTGAGAACGCCTGTGTGCAACGCTGTGGACTCAGAAGGTCCAAGGTGGGGCAACACGTCTAGTGGGGTGTGTGACGGTGGACCGAGGGAGCCAGAGGAGGATCCTGACATGAGGAGTCTCAGGAGGTGCACCAGAAGGAGCCTCCCAGACTGAGATGAGGTCCAGTCGTTCGCGGCGGGGGGTGGGGGGTGGGGGTGGGTGTCCCAGACCTGGCGCTGTGTCTCCAGATCTGCCTTGTTCCCGACCAACACGATGGGGAAGTCATCTCGGTCCTTGACTCGGAGGATCTGCGTGAAGAGCTTGCCCACCTCGTTGAAACTGCGGATGAAGCCAGAGGTCCAGACAGCTGCTCACCCCCAGTGCCCCCCCTGCTCCCTACCCCCCGTCACTCTCACCTCTGCCGGTCATTAATGGCAAACACCAGCAGGAAGCCATGGCCGGCGCGCATGTACTGTTCCCGCATAGCACCGAACTCCTCCTGGCCAGCAGTGTCCAGAACTGCAGGGAGGGGAGAGGGGCCTCTGTGGGGACGAGGGTCCCTCCAGCCACCCACCTCCCCCCAAGCCTTCAGCCCTGCCACTCCCCCTCCCACCATCTCCCCTGCCGTCCTCACTGTCTAGCCGGGCTGGGACGCCATCCACCATGCAGATCTTCGTGTAGGAGTCTTCAATAGTGGGGTCGTAGTCAGACACGAAGTAAGACTGGTGGGGTGGGAAGAGGACACCTTTACTGCAGTGTCCCAGCAGAGGTGATGTAGCCCTGCCTCTGAGCCCCGACTTTCTCGGCCCCCCTCCTTCTGGGTCTCTTCCCCTCTTTTGAGTCTGTCTCCCTCTCTCTGGGTTTCTGTCCCTTCCCATGGCCCTCCCCAGGCTCCTGTCTCTGTCTCGTGGTCCTGTTTTTCTGGTATAAAGTACATTCCCCACATCATGATTACAATCCTGGCTATGTGGCATTGAACGAATCACTTCCCCTCTCTGAACCTCAGTTTTCTCATTTGGAAAATGAGGATAAAAATAGCACTAGGCTTAATCCACTGTTTGTGAGATTCAGGGAAAATCCCTGTTCAGTATTTAATATATCCCCTGGGCATAGTAGTTGCTCAGTTATTGAGAGCCACTGTTGCCCAGAATACCTTGCTGTCTATAGCTCTCCCTCCTCCTCCTCCTCTTTCTCTTCCCTCTTTTTTTTTCTTCTTCTTCCTCCTTCTCCTCCTCCCCCTCCCCCTCCTCCTCTTCGGGCAGCTTCCAGTGTCTCCTCCCAGGGGAAGGTCCCGGTTCCAATCCGGCTGCGGAGAAGCTGCCCCGCCCGCAGGCCGGGCCCCTCCCTTCCTGCCCGCCTCCAGCCAGGCTTTGGGCCAGCTTTGGGTCTGCCCCTGGGTGCAAGGGGCCCAGGGCTGGGGCATTTCTTTACACAGACAGGGGCTCCCTTGCAGGTGCTGGCTGGGGTCTCTTGAGCGGGGGGGCCTCTGCGGTAGCATCTCAGTAGCGGACACCTTTCTAGGGTTTTTCTGAGGTGGGAGGATTTCCCTCGGGAATGGGGTGGAAGTTTCCTGGGCAGGGGTGGATTCTCAGGAGAGAAGTGATGACTTGGCAGCTGGGGGTCTGCAGGCTGCATCCTGCCTGTTAGCGGGGGTGCTTGGCCCTGGGGGGATTAGGGGTGTATCTGCAAAATACATCAGGAGAAGCTCAGGGGTGAAAACTGGGGCCTTGGGAGCATTTGGGAGGTTTGTCATAGACTATAGAGTCTAGAGAATCTTAAAGACCCTGAGATACATTTAAGATATCAGAGAAACTCCCAAGGAGCAGGTCTTTCTAGGGGTGTCAAGAATCTGGGGACTTACTCCATGGAGATGATTTGGGGGCTAGCCAGAGTTTCAGAGAGGGGCTCGGGGAATCGGAGTGGAGGAAAACTCAAGATGGAGGAGTGGTGGGTTTTCCTTGGGGAAGGGTGGGGGTCTGGGTCTGGTGAGATAGGGGAACCCCAGAACTTGGGGTCTTAGAGTTCTCTGGAATGGCCAAGGGGCAGGATCTTTTTGAAACCTCTCAGGTCTGAGGGTGCCTCTCTCTGGACTGGGTGGTCCTAGACGGGCCTCAGGGGCAAAGCCTGGGCATAATTTCCAGTTTCTGGGGGAGGTCCCTGGGGGAGATTCCAGACTGAGGGAATCTCAAGGGCATCGGGCACAGGCATGGTCTCAGGTTCTGGGTAGCTCAGAGGGGAAGTTTGGGTCTGCGATTTGGGGGAGATGGTGCTCAAGGTTGGGGGAAGGCGGCACCTAGGGGGGTGGGGGCCCATGAGAGTGCTTAGGGTCTGGATGGGGTGACTCTTCTGGATTTAGAGTGCTCCCAGGAGGCACCCACGGTCAGATCAGTAGGGAAGCGGGGTCTTGGGTACTGGGGGTAGGGGTGGTGGGTCTCAAGATACAAGTACAGGAGGAATGTCCCTCATGTAGTGGGTGGAGGCCCTGAGGGGCTCAGGGTCACATCTGAGGGGGACTTTTTTAAGATTAGAAGGCCTCACAGGAGGGTTTCAGTGATGGATCGAGGGGAAACCGGGGTCTCAGGGATCCCGCAAAGGGCTCAGTTCTGGGTCCCGGGGGCACCCCCCCGGGGTGAGGGCCCACTACCTGGATGAACTGGATGGTCAGCGCGCTCTTGCCCACGCCGCCGCCGCCCACGACCACCAGCTTGTGTGTCTCGCTGGGTGGGGGGTCCCCGGGCCCCGGCCCCCCGCCCCGGGGCCGCCCCCGCCCTGTCCCGGACGCCGCCCCGCTGCTCATGTCGCCACCGCTGCCGCTGCCGCCGCTACCGCCTGGGGGGGAGCCGGGCGGGGCCTAGGGGCGGGCCACGCTAATAAGGCTACTGCATAATCATGAACTCCAGCAAGAAGGGCTAGTATCTCGGGACACTTAAGAAGGAGGCAAGGCCAGGGAAAAGGAGGAGCTATGATAATAAGAGTAGGGGAACGGCGTTCGCTGAGAAGGGGAATTCCAAATGGGGCGGGGACACGCTAATAAGAGAACTGGGCTCACCCCGAGCGGCGCCACGCGCTCTCGGCTGGCCGGCCGTCTGGGGGCGGGGATATGCTAATAAGCTCTCATTCTCTCTTCCCGATGGGTCGGGAAGATAGCTCGGGGTGGGGCTATGCAAATGAGGAACCCCGTGATGCAGTTTCTCAGGGCACCATCTCCGAGGCCTTGTTCCAGTAGGCGGAGCTCGCGGACTCGCGCGCGGCCGTATATAGGCGCGCTCCGAGAAAGTAGCAAGTCCTGAGGGGTAGCTCAACCTCCGTCCTGGGATCCTAGCCAAGCTCCCAACGCGGGCGTCTGGGCTGGATGCTGCAGGCTCCGCCCGCTAAGGGACCCAGGTTTCCGGTTCCCGCTGTCCCAGCCAAGCGGAAGACAGACTGGGAGGGAAGATGGGGCCCTGGAGGGGGGACAGTGGGTAACTGGGCAGGGAGGGGCCGTGAGATCACTGCATTCCTAATCCATGAGCCAGTTCGCCCAAGCCGGGATGCCTGGATTATGCCTGGTCTAGGGTCAGGATTTCTGGGTCTTGAAGGAGGAGGAAGCTGAGAGCCCAGACCCCTAGGAATACCTAGGAGAGAATAGGGCTGGAAGCTTGGACTCCTGGGTCCCCAGAAGGAGGGGACCTGGAGGTCCTTACTACTAGGTTCGGTAAAGGAGGGAAGCTGAGGGCCCAGACTCTTGGATCCAGAGGTTGGAGAGGCTGGGGACCCAAAATTCTGGATCCGAGGGAGTTAGGATGGGGAACCCGAACACTCGGGTTAGTGTAAGGTAGTTTGTTTGAGACCAGGAATGGTCTGAGGATGGCTTGAGGGCCCGACTCCTGGATTTAACAGGAAGGAGGGCTCGGCTTCTGAGTCCCAGGGAGGAGGGAAATGTGAGTCCGGACTCCTCTGTTCTGAGTGAGAGGAATCGGAATTTGGACTTTTTCTGTCCTAAATGAGGAGGATGCTGTAGGGCTGCGCTCCTTGGTTCTAAATTTAGAGAGAAATTGGTATCGGGATTCTGGGATCCCTAGAATGTGGGCGGGGCAACTCCCAGCCTGTCCTGTGTTGTTTTTTTTTTTTTTCCTACGGCCCACTTCTTGGAACTACAACTCCCTCGCATCTGTCACGCTGACCGCTCTTTCCGTCACTTCCTTTTCCGCCGCTCTTTCCGCGCGCGTGCTGGGTACTTTGGGGCCTAATCGCGGCCTACCGCAACCCCGCCCACTTCACCCCTCACCCCGCTTGCTGTCCCCGCGCAGCGGAGGCGACGCGCGGACTACGCCTCCCGGCGTGCGTCGCGCGCACCCGGCCTATGTGTCCTATTGGTTGCTGGGAAACTGAGTCCGGAGCCTTCCCACCAGCCTTCACGGCACCGTGCTCGATACTTGAAGTCCCGGCAAGCTCGGCGGTGTTTTAGCTCCACCCCTCTCCTCCCTCTGCTCGCGAGCCCCGCCCCAGCCCGCCCCGCCCCGCGCCGGGGCCGGAGCCGCAGCCCGAGCGGCGGGGTAAGATGGCGGCGGCGGTCCGGGCCGCGGGGCTCGGGCCTATCGGGGTGGGCGGGGCGGAGTCGCGTCGCTAGTTGTCCCGGGGTCCTCCCGGCACGCCGCAGGGCCTAGAGGGCTTAGCGGGTCGGCCTCGGGCCTGGTAGCGGCGGCGGCGCCTGGCGCCGAGCGGAGGGCCTTCTGAAGGCCCCGGGACGCGTCTGTGGTCCCGGGGGGCATCTACGGGGCGTCCCCGAGAGGATTGGGGGCGTCCACAGGGCCTGGACTGAGACTGAAGCCTGCCTTCCATCATATAGCTGGCTTGGGTCATTTTTGTAGGCACTGTTGATCGTCTTTATGAGCTGACCGGAGGCTAGGGTCTGTTTAGAGGGTTCTGGGGCCATCTTGAGATCTTGAGATATGTCCCGGGGTGAAGGTGATCTGCAAGAGCTGGGGAGTATCTGCAGAGCCAACTATAGCGCCTAGGGTATGTCTGTTAGGGCTGGGAAGTGTCTACATGTGCTGACCTGAGGATGCGGTTCACCTACAGGGGTCTGGGGCCATATAGCTGGGCCTGGAAGAACTGTTCCAGGGATAGGAAGTCTTTTATAGATACCCAGAGGAGCGGGATGTACCCACGAAGGGAGAGAGGCAAATACTGAGATGTTCTGAGAGGCCTGGATGGGTCTCCAGCTGTCTGGGGAGTGTCTAGTCTGGGTGACAGGAGGCTGGGGGCAGTTAGAAGAACCTGGAACCATCTAGGTGGCTTTGAGTGTGACTGCAAATTCGAATGCCTTTGGGGGGGCCATATAATTGCATGGAGAATAAGACAATGAAGAGTATTGGAAAATTTGCCCAGCTGTATTGTACTTGCCCTTAGAAAGTAATTCAAATGCACAATGTTGAAAAATTCTGCGTGGCCCTGGGGCTACAGAGAGAGTTAGAATTAGTCCTCCTTGGTCTGGGAAAGTCTATAGGATCGTCTAGACTCCTCTAGTGCTGTGATTTTCAAACTCTTTTGACCTTGATCTACAGTGAGAAATACATTTTTTCATTGAGACCCAGTGTACACCGTCATATGAATTTCATACCCAAGTCCCATTAATTAGTATTTTCATTTACTTGTGATGTATTGTGAAGAATCTTCTACTGTGTTCGATTTGCTTTGATAACAAGCTATTTGTAAAGCACTGAACTGCTATCAAGTTTATAGTTTGGGAAACTGATCTAGAGGGACCTAGCAGCGTCTGCAGAGGCTTCTCAGGTATAAAAGACCTAAGGAGCCGGGGGTGTGTCTGCAAATCCCGGGGCATGTGTGAATGGGCAAGGGAGGATGTTCATTCTACAGAGGGTTTGGGGCTCTGTGGGTCTGTAGTCAGCACATCTTGATTAAGCTTCTCTTATGTGACAGCGCTGTTCTACATAGCGTGTGCTCCCCCCACCCCCACCCAGGTGCCGAAGAGCAGCGCCAGGGCTGGGAACTGTCCAGAGGGGCTTATCAGAGTGAGAGTTGTCTGTGGGAGTTCGGGAAGGAACTGCAGGCTCTTAGAGAGCCAGGAGGCAGCATGGGAGAGCTTTCTGAAAATCTGGTACGAGGGAGACCAGGGCCGAGATCTTTTTTTTTTTTTTTTGGCAGGTATGCAACCGAGGGTGTAGGGGAGACCGAAGTAGGGGAAACCTGGGCGTTAAAGGCCGATGATAGGGCTTCCCTGGTGGTGCAGTGGTTGAGAGTCCGCCTGCTGACGCAGGGGACACGGGTTCGTGCCCCGGTCCGGGAAGATCCCACGTGCCGCGGAGCGGCTGGGCCCGTGAGCCATGGCCGGTGAGCCTGCGCGTCCGGAGCCTGTGCTCCGAAACGGGAGAGGCCCGTGTACCGCAAAAAATATTGTTACTCTGTATATAGCCCATGATAATTATTGTTACTCTGTATTGTTACTCTGTGTCAGGAGTCTGTCTCCTTTCAATTCTCACAGGCTTTCTCTGACTTAGATACTCCTATTGGGCCCACTTAGAGCTAAGCACACGGCGTTGAGGGTTAGGGGTTTTGAAGCTTTCTAGGAACTGTGGGACCAGATATTTATTGTCTTCAGAGTAGGAGACTTGACAGTTGCAGGGAAGCCTATAGCTGAAATCTTCGTATTTTCTGAAGCCCTAATCAAAATCCCCATCAGTCTGAAGAGTGATTTTTCACCTTCTGTATAACCTAAGAATTTCTGTGACATGGCAAAGCCTTGCGCCGCACTTCCACACAAGGGGCAGACAGGTGATCGGAGGGTGCTCCCTGCGGCGTCTAGTGGACAGCATTCCTGAAGTTTGTGTTTTCGTTTTCAAAGTGGCGTACTGGTTTTGTAGCTCATTCTATTATAGCTCCATCCTCTGTGTGTAAATACATTTTGTTGGGTCCCTCACCATCGAGGAGAATCGATGCTTTAGGAAGTGGCGTGGTGTTTGAGGCGCACCCAGCACACTGGCACGTATCTCGGTTTGGGAAAGGTGGGTTTATGAGACATCGGGGCAGTGTTTGAAATCACAACTCAACAGAAAAGAGTCTTGGCTCCCATGAAGGCAGGCTCCCGTGAGGTCTTAAAGGGGGAAGGTGCGGGAACTGGGGAGGGGTGTGTGGAAATAGGCCGGGAAGGCCTCCCTTTGGCAGAGGAGGCAACAAATTCAGACAAGGGAAGAGGGTTGCTCCAGTCCCTCTAGTGTCTGCACTGGGCCTGGTACTTGCCCGGGCCTGGGATGCGGTGGAGGAGAGGAGGGATGCTGAAGGGGATACAGTGTTGGAGGCCCCTGAGGTCTTCATGTCCATCCTCTCCTTCCGCCACCTGGCACCACTGTGCCCTGCCCACCAGCCTCTACTCCAGACTCTCCCCCGCCTCCACCACCAGGTGACCATGGAGGAAGAAGATGAGTCTCGAGGGAAGACAGAGGAGTCAGGCGAGGATCGGGGTGACGGTCCGCCAGACAGAGACCCTACGCTTTCTCCTTCTGCTTTTATCTTGGTGAGGCAGCCAGACGCCTGGGGCCGAGGGAGGGAGGGGCTGGGAGTCCAGATTCCAGGGCCCTGACTCCTGGACCCTTGGGAAAGGAGGGGTTGGGGGGCCAGGACTCTTGGCCTGTCTGTAGGGTTTGAGTCTGGTTGTAGGGGTGTCTGGAATGGCTGTCTCCCAGCAGCAGAGCTTGTGACCTTCCGCATGCATCCCCTGACTGCTCTTTCTTTCCATCCCCTTCACCCTCACTTTTCCTTCAGCGGGCCATTCAGCAGGCTGTGGGAAGTTCCCTGCAGGGGGACCTGCCAAAT